GCTACCGCTTGAGCCACATCCCCAGCCCTTAAACTCACATTTGATTAACTGTCATGTACTATGAATTCATTTTTAAGTAAATTCTATAATTATCTTCTGTATGACATAATTATGTGGCATTATGTTTTATATGTATTATAAACATTAATTGACCAGGTATGGTGGCACACATCTGTAATCCCAGTGGCTGGGAGGCTGAGGTAAGAGGATCGAAAGTTCAAAGCCAGCCTTAGCAAAAATGAGGTGCTAAACAACTCAGTGAGACCCTGGCTCAGTGGTCAAGTGCTCCTGAGTTCAATCCCTGGTGCCCAAAAATAAATAAATAAAATAAAGACAGTACTCTATACTGAAATTACTATTTTTCAGCAAGAAGGAAGGTAGCACAGATACCAATCCCTGTGTCGACTATTATCTTTATTTTACATTAAAAAAAAAAAGTATGCCTGTTGTACCTTCCTGCATATATCACTATTACCCAGCCTCTCCTATAATCTTTCCAGTGTTGGGAAATTATTGCTTCATAAGGCAGTGCATTTTACTTTGATCTATGAGCTCCAGTTATTACACAGTATGATAGTGACWTAAGAATCAGCAGACCAATGTTTGAAACCCACTTCTTCATTTTAGAAGCTGGGTAAACTTGGAGAAGTTAATAACTCCTTCAAGCCTCAGATTCCTCATATAAGAAATGGGATAACAACAACTACCTAATATGATGGGAATAATAACTAAAGGAAATTATTATGTGGAAAACTTAGGCCAATCATTCTTGACCTTTGTTTCATATTAAATTCAAACAAGCTTTTTTTTAATTTTTGTTTTATTTATCTATCTATTTATTTTGTAACTCTGGATTRAACCTGGGGTGCTTAATCATTAAGCCACACCGCCACCCCTTTTTACTTTTGTTTTTTTTTTTACTTTGAGACAGAATCTCACTAAGTTGCTTAAGGCCTCACTGAGTTGCTGAGGYCAGCTTTGAACTTGTGATCCTCCTCCGTCAGCCTCCCCAGTTGCTGGGATTATAGGTATGTGCCACCGTGTCTGGTATGGCAAGCTTTTTTAAAATAGGCTTTATTTTTTAGAGCAGTTTCAAGTTCACGTAAATTGAACAGAAAGTACAGGGATTTTCCATATGCATCCTGCCTTCTCACATGCATAGCCTGTGTTACAACCAACAATGAACCTACATTGATATATCACTCTCAYTCAGAGTCCAGGGTATACATTAGGATTCACACTTGGTGTTGTACACTCTATAGAGTAGGATAAAAGTCATGGCATGTATCCACCTTTATAGTATATGCAATAGTCTCATTCTCCTATTTGTCTCTCTTTCTCCGTAGTCCACTTAGTCAAAAATTAGTCAAACACTAATTTTCTTTCTCTCTCTTTAATTTTGCCTTTTTCACAGTGTCATACAGTTGGAATCATACAATACAGATCCTTTTCAGATTGGCTCTTTCATCTAGCAGTATACATGTCTTTTATGGCTTGGTAGTTTATTTYTGTTGTTGTTGTTGATATGCCTTTATTTATTTATTTATTCATTTATTTATATGTGGCGCTAAGAATCAAAACCAGTGCCTCACACATGCTAGGAAAGTGCTCTCCACTGAGCTACCACCCCAGCCCAGTTTATTTCTTTTTTAGTGTTAAATATTCCATTGTTTGAACATACCAATTTATTTATCTATTTATTTACTGAAGGACATCTTGGTTGCTTGCAAGTTTTTGTTTTTCTTTTTGTTTTGTTTAGTTTTGGTCCTGGGAGTTGAACCCAGGGCTTTGTGAGTGCTAAGCAAAGGTTCTACCACAGAGTCCTCTCCTTCCACGTTTTTTGTTTGTTTGTTTTGAGGTTTTTAAATGGTTGGTTGGTTGGTTGGTTGATTGGTTTTTGTTTTGGTACTGGAGATTGAACCCAGGAACATTCTTCTACTGGGCTACTTTCCCAGCCCCTTTAAAAATATTTGTTTTTAATTTTGAGACAGGATCTCACTAAGTTGTCCAGACAACTTGTGATCCTTCTGCCTCAGTCTCCCAAATTGCTGGGAATAAAGGCAAGCAACACCACACCTGGCCTAAGTTTTAACAATTATGAATAAAGCAGCTATAAACATCTGCATGCTGATGTTCACATCTGTATGCTGGTGTTTACATCTGTGTGCTGGTGTTTATGTACATGTACTCTTTTGGAAAAATGCCAAGGAGGGTGTTTGCTTGATCATTTGGTAAAGTATGTTTAGTTTTGTAAGATACTGCCAAATTGTCTTCCAAAGTGGTTCTCCCATTTTGCATTCCCACCAGCAAGGAATGAGACATTCCTTTTGCTCCACATCCTTGCCAGCATTTGGTATTGTCAGTGTTTTGGATTTTCACCATTCTAGTAGAGATTTAGTGATATCTCATTGTTTTAATTTGCAGTTCATTAGTAACATGTGATGTTAAGCATTTTTCATATACTTA